TTGAAAGATTGTTCCTCAGCACAGAGAGGCCCTTTGACTTCAAGAGTTCACAGATTCATGTCTTTAGGTATCATATGTCTGACCTTATCAGTTACTCCATTTAATGTCGGAGAAAAAGTCTCGACTCTTTGTGTTAGTCTGTTTTGCCTCTATGAAATGATTTGGTGAAAAGACCATCCTTTTTAACACACCACTGAGAGGCCGTTTCTGCTGCAACCTACCCTGTGGCTTTTCTCTCTTTAAAAAAAAAAAAAAATTGTCCTTGTGTTTTGTGTATGGATGAGTTCACAGTGAGAATAGAATTATACAAGGGCAGACGCACACACAAAAAAAATCTTTTGCTTCCCTCCCTCCCCGCCCCCCCCATGATCTATTGGCTCTCTTGGTGGCTGTACCCCAACAGGAGAAGCCATTTAGCAAACACAGAGGTGGCAGCCGTGATGCTGGGATGGCAGTGGGTTTTCCCTTGCTACGACCTACCCCTAAGGCCTTCATAATTAATTGTCCTTCAGAGATGAGGGAAGTTCAGAGACAGTGTGTGGAGTGATGTCTATTGTCTGACATTCAGTTCTCCTTGCCTCTGCTCTTTTTCTTCGTCCCACAAAGGGTTATCAATAGGAGAAAGGGAGCAAGTTCTCTGCAGAGAGCCGCTGGTGGTGGCTGGAGCTTTCGGTGGGATGTTAGCATTGTGTTCGGCCCATCCTGGCTTAAATGTCTGGAGAAGTTCTGACAGCCTTTTGAAAATGAGCCTGTTTATTTCGTCTAGATGAAACAAACTCATTTAGCCACCTAAAGCTTGTTCAAAAGTTGGCGATCCCTTTTCACGTGGCCAATAATATTTTAAATCAAATTTCCTCGGCCTCCTAACCACTCCCGGATTTGATTTCACTGTAATCATTTGGTTCCTTTTCAGCCGCAGGGCAGAAAATTTAGTGCTCGTTCACTCATTTCTCTTAAGCATCTCAGTATAAATTTGTAAGAGTAAGTCTTTTTTGCAAACGCTCTTTTTGGTGAGGCATAGGACTTTGGTTCTTGAAAGTAGATCATTCTCGTTTAAAAATATTGTGTCACCTTCAGTGATTGCCTTAAGCCAATCCTCCAGTGCTATTTGGTAACATGACACAAAACCATGCAATCTGTGTGCCCCCCAACCCCTGCTTTTGGCTGAGACACAAACTGAAAGATGCAATGTGGAGACAGCTATTTGAGAAGTAAAGGAGGAGGGCCATTAATGATTATTATACTTCTGTTCCTGTTAAATAGGGTGAAGCCAAGAAAAACAAATATAATTGTTCTTCCAAAGAGCGGTTGAACGGGCACATTAGAAAGGTTTAAGATCCCTGTCGGGTGCACAGTGACGTCGAGGCTGAAGGGAAGCGTATCTCAAGGAAATCTCTGGGTCTCTCAGAGCAGCCCCTCCCGGATGAAGGGACCCATCACGATGGCCAGAAGTGATTCTGTCCCCGTAACCTCCTTGAACAACTTTCACCACAGACCTTTTTTGGTATTTTAAGAGAAGCTGTGTATGGAAGTTGACACAACTAATATAGTCATACCAAAAAGGGGGGTCATAAAAAATTAAAGTTCTTCTTATGAATCTTTCATCAGAAGCAATGAAAAGGGACACGAGTGTAGCCTCAGTCCTTTGTGCTGCGAGCTCTTCTTCCGGGCTCTGGGCTGTTGTTCTTGCAGCTCCTCAAACAGACTTTCACTTTCAAACTGACAAAAGTCACTTAGAAGCCAGACAGCTGTACTAACACACCCACCTTAGCGGGCGGGAGCCGCGGCAGGTGCCGAACCCTCCGACAGACCTGGTTTCAGATGGGCGGGGGCCGCTTCCTCCCGCCTGCCTGCTACCCGTGCCCTCGTGCCGAGGGGGGGGTGCCATGCGTGACCCGGTCGCGGCCCCCTGGGCCCCCGCAGGTGCCCCCAGATTTTTCTTGTCTTCCCTTTACAGCTGGAAACACGGACGTCCATGATCATATTGATACCTCAGGTGGGATGGCCAGGGCCCGGTTCGAGAAAAGTCTGAGCACAGAACTTGGCAGAAGGCAGAGGGAGTTTGTCTCAAAGCTCCCTCCTTCCATTTCCCCCTTGCTTCTCTTTATTCACTTTTTTTTTTTTCCTGCCAGTCTGAAGCTCTCGTAAGCTTTTCAGATTGCTGCTGCCTCCTCCTCGGGAGGAACTTGGGTCGGATGAGAAACCCCCACTGGTGGTGGGGACAAGCCCCCCCCCGCCCAGGATCAAAGATCCAGCTAGAGACAGCTAGGCTAGGTAGTTCTGCCTGCCTGCCAGGCCTCGGGGCAGCCGCCGCTGTGGGCCGTGGCAAGTCCTCCCTGTGTGTGTGTTACAGCCCCCCCCCCCCGTCACCTTGTGTACAGTCTGGTCTGTGACACTGATGGTGATTATGTCATTATTTTGCTCTGGGGGCCCTGGCACATCTGCAGAGCCCAAGCACATCTTCTTTGTTGCGCTGGCAAACATCCCACACCACAAATGCTTCATTAGCCCTGCTGCTGGCCTCCTTGCCAGACGCGAGTGCCCAAGCCCAGGCTTCTTTCTGCTCCGTTCTTTTGTGTCACTGATGATCGTGTATTCATCTTCCCGGTTCTTCCCCATTTTCCTCGACTTCTGAACTCCAGATGTCCCAGTTTTCTTGCCCAAATCACTCTGAGGTCTACAATGAGAAGCAGGGTGACTCTACCCCTTAACCCATCCCCACCCCTTGCCACCTTCCTACTTCTCCGTTCCCCAGATGGAGAGTGACTTTGAACAGCTCCCCAACACAAGGGCTAACATTTTCAAACCTGTGGTTTGCGGAGATACCAGGGGACTGCTCCCAGTATATGACGGTAGATCGGGCTGGGATGAGGAGTTATTAGATACTGCTTATTGGACGGATGCCTTTCTCCTCCATGCCACTTCTTTCCTCTCCTTGGCTCATTTATTTGCTTTCTACACATTGCCACATTTTAACAATTTTCAGAAAGCAGTCTAAAATGTGAGTGCAGAAAAGATTCTTCATGCTTCGCTCTGCATGTTATGGTCATCTGAAGGTTCTTTTTCTATGAATGGAATCTTCATCTCCACTCATCCCCCTACCGAAGTCCCCTGCCTCCTTCTGCGGCCCTAACCTCCCCAGCCCCCAACAATGACCTATTATTAGATATTTAAAGTGATTAGCACTTGGCTTTTTGGGAAAGGAGCTGAAACATTCCCCTTAAGTTTTATTCTGTGTATTTCACAGAACCACGGCTTTTGTTAAGGTGTGCTGGTTTCTCCATTAACTGCAGTAAATTTCAGAGTTTAGTATGTTGGGCTGTGATGGGTGCTCCATAATTGGGATGTTTAATTTCCCCTTAAATTTGAACTAATTGGCCTGTGTTACCATACTATGAGTAGCTTCCCCAATGGAGAGTTTAATCAGTTTTTTATCTCCCAACCACTGCAACATAAGATGTTTGAAATGTCTCTATCTTTGAATAAAACAGATTTTTCGTTTTAAGGATTAAGTTCATATTTTTATGGGAATCATGGTCAGATCTAGGACAGAGACACCGGTAAGGAATAAAGAAAACTCCTGGTGAGGAATGAGTTGTCGTACGGTACCAGGCCCGAACACTCTCCAGTCCCTGAGCCCCGTTCCAAATCTTAGGAACGATTTGGCTGGGAGAGTAAAGGGAGAGGTGGTCAGATCAGTCAGCTACCCAGCCCTCTGGCCAGGAGAGACTGGTACCTGTCATTGTTGGAATCATTTTCGAAAGACTCAGGATGTCCCCAGAACATTCCCAACCTTCCGTCATTAGCTCATTATGGTTTTATCACCCATGGGTTTATTTAAACCTTTTTTTAAACTTAACTGCATTCTCAGAGTATATCACTCCTCAAGATAATAATTCTCTAAATTTATTACCTGCTGTGAAAATTGCATCTTCTTTTTATGGTTCTTAAAGTGATTTCCCTGGAACTCCAAAGGATCTCCCTTGTTATAATATCCTGGGATTTGTGAACAGGACTGTGACCATATTCTCCATTTCCTTTCTGATTTTATAGACTTTGATCATTCCTCCCTCTTAATCTTCATCTCTCCAGATTAAGGGGCTCTAATCCTTTTTAAAAGTCTAATCTCATACAGTAAGTGGGCTGCCCCTGATCATTTTCGCTGCCCTTCTGTAATGCATTTCCGGCATGACTGTGTCTTCTCGAGGGATAGTTGCACTTACCAGACCACAGGACAGAATTCCAGCCATGGGCAGCCACACTATAGTTTGGTGGTTGTACCTCTCTCACACACACCCAATGCGATTTGTTTTGTTGGTCCCAGAAGTTTATCCTCAGAAGTTGGATTTCTTGAGTAACATCTCAGTAGCACTTTTTGCTTAAGATGATCCCCTGACACCAATTTATGAGCCTCTTGGCAAGTATTCTGGCAAATCTGAATGTGTCTCCAGGACATATCCAGCCAAATAAAAAAATGAGCAGATCCACCATGCTGTCTGGATGTTTTCAGTGTTTTTGTAGATAAAGTATCAGGGCATTTGATATCATGAAGACATGACCTTAGTCTTGGGCTTGAGTCTTTAAAATGCTAAAACTAGGGCAAGAAAGCTCTGGCCTCTAAATTATTCTTAGGCAGGAAACAAAATGTTCACTTACAAGTAGGTGTTATTTTATATGAAAGCATCACCTTGAAATCTTAAGAAGGAAATCCTTTGGGGAGTCTTTGCAATGTCAGTGGTCCTGAACTAATAATAGTGCAGAACCTAAGAGCATGGATTCTGGAACTGGTTCCTGGGGTCAGATCCCAGCTCTTCAAACCTTGGCAAGTGTCTTACCCTCCCTGTGCCTCAGTTTCCTTGTCTATAAAATGGGGAAAATAATAGCAACTACCTCACAGAGTTGTCTTCAGAATTAAATGAATATACATGACTGTATTAGCACAGAGTAAGTGCTGTATAAGCATTTGCTTTTATTAATTCATAGAGCCAAGTAAAAGTTACCTTGCTGCTGTTATCAGTAGCTCAACGATTGCACCATTTCCTGCTGATCCTAAATAGGCAAACAAACAAATGAGCAAACAGGGAGTTCTCATCAGAATTGGGACAAAGAGTCAATGCAAAACTGGTTTTTAAAAAGAGAAAGTGATTCCTCCTGCCCCAGGTGTGGCTGTAAAGGTGACACCAGCCTGGACCAACTCCAGGATTCTGGAGTCATGGGTTCCAGATGAGAAGGGCAGCAATGAGGGGAGGGGTTCTGGCGGAGGGAACACCAGATTAGAGGGTCTGCTTCTGGCCACACCTGCCTTGTTGAGCTCTACTTTGCTCACCCGTCAAGTGATAAGATGAAACACAGAGCTTTGTTCTATCTTTGAAATTCTGTGATTCTAGAAGACATTCTGCATTCTTGAAATAAATCCTGGGCATGATGCGAAGCTTTAAGCAGTGACTGTGGAGCCCCTAGGAATCCAGATGGTGTCCATGTGGGACCACTTCCACCCTTGTGGCTCTGCTGTGGCTTAATTATCTCAGTGACAATCTCTAGGGTACCCATTTTCGTGTTCTCCCAACGCTCTCTTTGCAGATCTAAATCTCAACAGTGCCCTTGGAGATGTGGCAACTCCCATGCTGGGATTACAGAGACTAATTTTTTAAATTCATAAACTTTTATTGACTGAATTGGCACGAGTCATTATACTTGCTGCTCACTTTATGGGTTGGGTTGGCTAGGGCAGCCAAACAATGAGGACATTTGTCCTGAAGCCCTCATGTGAGTGGGTTTTCTAGGAGATGGAACAGAACTGAATAAACTAAGAGAGATGCTATATACCTGTTCCCACACGTATCCCACTATGCCATACCTCCACCTGGACCATCAGCATTTCCGCTATGCATGAACCTCTGTATATAATATAACATCTGCCCTCGTTCAGGACAGAAAGAGTTGTTTCGGATAACTACCTTCACTATTAGGCTGGGTTGGCAATTTTTGCAAAAGCCACACCACCTTTTCTTCCAAGACGGTGGTAATTTCGATCATGAAAGTCTTTCCCAGTGGGATTTTGTGGGTGTTCATGCGTTTGTGGTTGGTATCAAATCCTCACACAAGTCATTTGGATATGTATTTTTCATCTTTTTATGGTTATGGTCCCCAACTTGTGTTTTTGGGGGGGGAAGGGGCTACCAAAGCATTTTAAAGTAAAATTTCGTTCTAAAAGTGATTTTTAGTAAAAGGTAGTATGTCGACTGAGAACAAGTGTGGGGGCTGAGTGGCGCTAAAGGCAGAAAAACAACCAGAAGCAGAAGTGGGTAATGATGAAAGGCCCTGGTTTCAAGGCCACTGTGTTTCCTTTAATATAGAGACAATTTTTAAAGACTTATCATTTTCAGTGGCCTGACAGTATACAAGATAATCTGTATATCGATTCCTGTAATTGCCTTTCGGCAGGGCCAATGCAAGGGCCAATCCTTGACAGCATCCTAAGACTCCCCACCGCAAACATTACCTCAAGTCCCGTTAGGTGTTGACATGGGTCTAGAGGGCTCCCAAAGGCCCCCGGGGCCATTCGAGAATCTGTTTCTCCCCTTTTCCAAACCATTTACCTTTCTTAAAAAAGGAATTTCAGAGCCATTCCCAAGCTCTTAGGTTGCTTTAAAATACAGCTCATCCTTCCTTTTGCAAAGGGTAATTGTGGAGGAGAGACCAATAGAATACTCTAGAAACACAAAACAGAATTTCTCTGACAGAACAAAGATTTTTTTTAGTCAAAACCAAAAGATGGGACTGAGGCCTTTAATCCCAGTCCTTTCTCAGAGCAGCCCCAATATTATTTAGGATGCATACTCTGTTGTCAGCAGAGTGGTGGTCTCTCCCAAGATCCGGTGTTCTTGGAAGCACTCTTTTGATTATCACCCGTACCTCACAGTGCCTTCTCTGGTGCTTGCCATGGGTGATGCTATTCTCATCGTCCTGCCTGAACCCCACTTCCTAACAGTTTCTCCCTGGGTTCCTCACTCACAGGCTCTATCAGCATGAATACAGGGCACGCAGACTAGTTTCCATGTTAGCCTAGGCAAAGCTTAATTACGAAGATAAACCTGGTGCAGAAAACAATCACGTAATGCATTCTCGAACGAAACAGGAATAACTGTGGATTATCTGTGCCCTAGCTTCCTTTCGTGCAATATTGGAGAGTTTATGTCTTGTTGTTTTTGGATAAGCTCCCATCCAAGAATGGCACCAAGCTTGGCCCTATTTATTTTACGACCTCACCCAGTAATTGTAGCAAAAGTTAAACTTTAAGCACTATTAGCCTGTCTTGAACTCAGATACCAATGGCACATAATTCGTGGGGCTGCCTTGAAGGGAAGTGAGTTAACACTGCAGTGTGGCCAGTATGCTGCTCGTTTTTCCATCTAAATATCGAGCTGATTCATTTGATGTGTTGTGAAGGGGTATGGATTCCGCCATCTCATACTTTTGAATGTTTCCTGGCAGGAACGTTCCTAATGAAAACCTCCTCATCAAGGCAGAGAAGGGCTGAAGTCTTCCTGGGCCTTGATTATCTCTGGGTGTGGTTTCACTCTGTTCCCATAGACGTGGGCAGCCTTCCGTGCATCTGAGGAATGGCGTGACATTGCAGGTTGAAGTTGGGTGAATCGATCCCAGCTACCCTGCAAGAACAAGTAGTGTGCTGACCCAGTGAGGCACACAGGATTAGTGAAGAATGAAAGCGCATTCGGGAACGTTGTTAGCCCTCAAGTTTGGCTAAGAGCAGAAGTTGGCAAACGATGGCGTTTGGGCCAGATCTGGCCCTCAGCCTGTTTTTTATGACTCTGAGTTCAGAATGGTTTTTATATTTTTAAAAAGTTGTAAACAAGAAGAAGAATGTGCAACAGAGACAGAATGTGGCCCACAAAGTCTATGTATTTACTATCTAGCCCTTTACAGAAAAAGTTTGCCAACCCCTGGCTCAGATTGTTTCGTTCTTTTGGAGAACATGGACTCTCCGAGTCCTGAGGTTCCAAAACTCCATGATTCTTGGATGAAATATCTTGGTCCAGGTCTTACCTGAATGGCTAGCCTATCAGATGCATAATTCTGGCAGGAGCTTCCAGTTGTGTTTAAGATCTAAGTGTATTTCCAACGCATCCTGGGGGCAAAGAGATTAGGAAAGTATTAGATTTTCGTTTTTAATACTTTTTCCCTGATTTTCTTCTTGTTGAATTTTATTTGTTCATTTGTTTTGTCTGTTTAAACTTGGAGTCATTCTTTGAAACGTGTGCAGAGTTCGGGAGGGAAGGAATATTTACTCCATCACCACAAATAACATGACAATCATTTTGTTTCCTGACACGTATACCACCAAGACTTCCAAACATGAGCAAATAAACTAGCCATTTTAATCATATTTGATGAACCAAATTTCAGTGCCAAAAAATAATTTTGACAGTGTCATAGAGTGTATTATAATGACATTTGCCATTCTGTTCCCGGCAAACTAGTTAAGTACCTACTTTTCTGGGGCTATGGGAGAAATGGTTTTATTTCTCTTGATATCTCTACACAGAGTTACCAGTGGAATGTTTATATAGTTTAAAAAGCATACACACATACAGCATACACAGCAGGTCAAGTAGATGTTAAGACATTCTTTTTTATTCCCGAAAGTCACAATTAGTCAAAATGCTCCATCCAAGCACATTTCTTTCTTTTCTTTTCTTTTTTTTTTAAGATTTTATTTATTCATTGGACAGAGAGAGATATAGTGAGAGCAGGAACAGAAGCAGGGGGAGTGGGAGAGGGAGAAGCAGGCTTCCCACTGAGCAGGGACCCCGATGCAGGGCTCAATCTCAGGACCCTGGGATCATGACCTGAGCCGAAGGCAGATGCTTAAGGACTGAGCCACCCAGGTGCCCCCAAGCACATTGCTTGATCATCATTTGATGTTTTTATCAACACATACATTATCAACATCTTAGAAGTGTAGAAATTTTATTGTGCATTCTGTATTTTCTAAATAGCCTCTTTTAAGAGAGAAAGACTCAGGTTAGGTGAGGAAACAAAGAAAGCACTCAGGGAGTGCCTCAGCCCTTCCTCCAGGCTGCTGTCAGAGAAGCCCACGGGAAGGGTGATAGCCTGCTGCATCCCCAGCCCCTCACTGCCCACGCTACGGACAAAAGTCCACATCCCCTGACGCTTTTTCTTGGAGCTCTACTGTCTGTTCAAGGTAGATCCTTAGCCTCCCTCCTTGCACTTTCCAGGTGACTTTTCATTCTTTTTACTACACTTCCTCCAATGGGGCCATGTCCACCATGTCCTCTCTGGTGGTTCCTCTACCGGCATTTCTACAGACTGGTACAGCCCCGGAGGATGCCAGGTGGGTTCCCTTGGAAGTTTTCCTGCCACAAGCTCAATGTATGTCCCTGCCGCAGCGACAGGCGGAGAGACATGCTTTTCTTTTGCCACTTTTTCTAATTATCCCTGCAGCTCTTTCAGTCTGGCTGGGAGCAACCTGGGGGCCGTAGTGTGGGTCTCCTCTCCCTCCCACTCTGTCCCCACCCCCGCCCCTGGCACATTAACATGACATTGCGTGGTGTGCACAGAACAGGAGCAGCTTCCACCAGCTGAAACCTCTGATCCCAAACCCACCAGAGAGTTTGGCTTTTGGATTTTGGCAAGAAGGCCTGTTGCCCATCAGGTCAGCATGAATAAAGATTTCTTTCTTCCTTTCTTTTTTAAAGTCAAGCACCAACTGACACTGCCCCCCCCCCCACCAAGCTCCCTTTCTCAAGACAATTTAACCCCATCTCCCAAGTACATTTTTTTTTCTGAATGCATGGGATTTTGTTTTATTCTTTTCCTGTGAGACAACCAAGAAATCTACTATATGTAGAATCTGAAAGCCAAATCAATTCTAAGCCATCTTATCATTTTTAAAGTATGTTTATCCAGCTTTGCTGTAGGAACAAGCAGACTGTTTGAAGGCCACATACTTTTCAAACCTTGGTTGCAACACGTTTGCCCCGTTTTGAAACTGTCTTTATC